TCCGTCTTTGACCCTTTGACCGACTGCCTTCCGTTCCACCATCATCATCACTCATCGCCATCCAACCAACTCCCCCACACCGCCCACCACTCCACTATTACATTACCGATATCACATCATTCCAACACATACACTTATTATTTCAATAATAGTTAAATAACAGAGTAATTGCTACATTTTGCTTGAATTAGGGCATAATGCTCTTACTTGAATCGAATCGTTCTTCTCTATTCGTTAAATTAAAAATATGTAATTTCGATAAACAACGTAATCAATTGATCGAACAATCAGAAAAAAAAAACGACCGACAGCGTCAGCATGCAAAAACATCTCAGCATGCCAGCCAATCGCATTTGCCCTGTGTATATATATAGTATTTCCAACTCTCCAATTTTTAGTGTCAACCTCCTCTTATGTTCCAAAAAGATTGGCTCTCTATATTAAAATATAACACAAGGTGGGGAGGCCAAAAAGGAAAAAAAAGAACGATACATTTTTAAAGCTTTGCTTTGTTTTGCTTGAACCAATAATATGGAAGAATGAGTTTGAGGGCAATAAAGAATAATTGTATGTGTGGATGAATGAGCGTGGTTGGCTGCATTACACTGTGTCGCCATCATGGGCGCTCGTGTCTTTGACCAGCCTAATTCAGGACCTTGGACCTCTCCAAATCTATTATTAGCTTGATTTTTGGGTCCAAGCCTCTACTTAATTGATTTAAACAAGGGGAAAACCCTATTAATCTAATCCCCCAATAAGTCGAGCTTTCATGTTGGTGGAAAGTGAAAATATATGTGATGCATCAACTAGAATTTGGATCAAATACTAGAGACTCACGCTTCTAAATCACACACTCACACCTTTACATTTATTCCTTAAGACAATTTATCCATTTCATAACTTATATATTAGAAGTTGAACTGAAGGATCGAACCCAGGCGCTAAGCGGTTGAATTTGAAGTTTGAAGTTCGAAGTTCATTAATGTGTCGTTTGGATAATTGCTTTCCAATCACGTTAATTTGTTTTATGTGTCAAATGAGTCCAAGTCGTGTTCGAGTAAACAAATGAGTCAGCAACTTAGTGTCGAGGCAAGTGGGAGTCTATTAGCTATTTTTCAAGGTAGTTTGGTTAGTGGAAAGCCGGATTTGGAGGTTGGGGAATCATGTCCTTGAGTTTAATTGCATTGTGGCATCAAAGCTCAAAGCAAGTTGTAACCAAAATACTGTGAGTGTTTAGTGTGTGCCCTGCCATTTAGAGTGCATTTTGGGTGCAAGGGAACATGAGAGTATTCAAGTGGGATATCTCTAGGAAAGGTGAGTGTGAAAAGGAAAATACGGATTAGAGATTAGCAGCTTTGCCCAAGTGTGCATACACAAATTCGATGGACTATGATCACTAGAGTTTGTTGATGGAGAATCTATCGAGATCTAAAGGGTATTGGATTGGGGTGACTGCAAGTTTTCAAGAGCCTACTCAAGGAATTAACTCTCTCCCATCCAGGACAAAGCACTAGAGGACATGAAACTGAAAGACTTGATAGCAAAGAATTATCTTTTCAGCTCTACAGATACGACAACTCTTAAGACAATCATCAACAAGGCTATGGCCAAAGAGTTATGAGATTCAATGAAAATCAAGTACCAAGGGAATGCCAGAGTTCAGAGGGCTTAACTTCAGACTCTCAGAAGAAATTCCGAGGTTCTGAAGATGAAGGAAGGTGAAATAGTCATAGACTACTTTGGTTGTGCTATGGTGATTGCAAATTATATGAGAAACTGTGGAGAGTCTATACCTAACGTGAAGATTGTGGAGAAAATTATGAGAACCTTAACAGAAATGTTTAACTATGTGGTGTGTTCTATAGAAGAATTTAAGAAATTTCATCAACTCCAAGTTGATGCTCCCCGGAGTTCATTTCTGGTTCATGAGCAGAAGGTTAAAGAAAATCAATTGCTGAGGAAGATCACGCACAAAAGATCTCTCATGGAACTGACTATAAAAGTGGAAGAGGAGGAAAAGAATATTATCCTGGTCGTGGAAGATGAAGAAGTGGAAGAATTTGGAGCAGAGATGTCGTGAAGTGCTCCAAATGTCATAAATTGGGGTCACTATAGAAATGAATGCCATGAATATTATAATCAACATTCTCACTTCTCAATGGCATTGCATAAGAAGGAAGATGTCCTATTGATAGTAATAACTACTAAAATTTAGAAGGATGCTAGTCATGAAGGCGGGTGGTGTCTGATTAAGAAGTGTCCAAGAGAAAATGTGATGAAAGGTTGTATGAAAGAAGTAACACAAATATATTATGATAACATCTCCACCCTCAAGCTATCAGGGTATCTAGTACTCCATGGAAAAAGCAAGTACATAGATGTAAGACTTCACTTTATGAGAAATCTTGCAAATGAAGGGACTGTTGAATCGGAATATGCGGGAACCAGTGAGCAGGTTGCTGACTTGATGACCAAACCATTGAAGCTCGAAACTTTCCAAATAATACGAGAAAATCTGGGAGTCTATGATGTTGATGTATTTACTAAAGCCAAGGAGTAATCATGTAGGTTGGAAGGGAAGAAGCTTCAGTTTAGGGGAGGACGTTAGAAGTTGAACTGAAGGATCAAACCCGAGGCATTGTGAGGGAATTAGAGTTGTGCCAAGCTATTGAATTTGAAGTTCGAAGTCTGTTACTTTGTCTTTTGGATAATTGCTTTGCAGTCACTATAGTTTGTTTCACGTGTCAAATGGGTCCAAGTCGTGTTTGAGTTTACAAACGAGTCACAACTTAGTGCATATGTTAACTAGTTTTCAAGGAAGTTTGGTTGGGAAGTCGGATTTGGATGTTGGGAATCATGCGCTTAGCTCCTTTATGGTTTGCTGAATAAATTGTCAGATTGTGTTCAAATTCGTTTACACAATCAAATACAGCAATCTAACAGAATTCCAGAATCCCGCTTCTAAAAAGTTCACTCATTTTTTTTCAAAGATAGTTGTTTCCCGCAATTGTTTTAGATGATCGTTGATTCTAAACTTTGTACTCAACATGTGTGGATTGGTAACTTCCACAACATTACTCCTGATCTAACTAACTCATAATGTTTTTTTTTTTTTCATAATTCTTTTAGGGATACATTATTAGAAGATGAGTTGATGAGTGGTGGAATGGGTTGGTGGTGGTGGGTTTTGGCACGAAAGGGTTTGTGCGTTTCTCAGCTTCTTGTAATAATCATAATGCAGAATACAAAAGGGAGGGTTTGAGATTGACTTTGCAATAATGAATTGGGTATACCCCCATTCCTTCTTTACTCTTTTCCTTTTGCAAGAAAGAATGAAGCTTTCGTATTCGTTTGCCCCTCATGCTTTTCTCGATCGCATTGCCAAACAGAAAAAAGGGAAAATAAAAGAAAGAAGCCAATGAGAGACTCATTCGATTGAATTCTGGGAATATATATGCTTGCTACTTTTATTAAGGGCTCTTTTGTTAAGTCTGTTAGTTGTGTACTCCCGTTTCTATCTTCCTTTTTCCCGTTTATGGGTCTTTCGGATTTTATTAATCCTCACTCCTCAGTCCCTCAATCGTAAAAGCAAAGATTTGACACAGAGGCCACCAGACTGTAAAGGGTGGCAGCCTGCCAGCAGAAACTTAACACTAATTAATTATAACGCTTAACTGATAATAATAATAATAATAATAATAATCGTAAACAAGAATTATGATGCTGTTTTTTTAGGGGTAATGATGCTCTTGGTTACATGTTCAACCATCCACACACAAGCCAATACCCCTCCAATGGCGACAAGAAAGTAAAAGACAGCCAACCCATAAAGTATATTCCTCTTCTCCTTAACGCCCTAAGAAAACAATAATTACAATTAGCAGTCTATTAGATGAAATGGTATGCGGTACATCTGCATACACTATTGGTAGAGTTGTGGATAGTAATGGTAATTTCCGATTTGACCTATACGTACTCGATCTGTTTTGGGTGAGTATTATTTGACTTGTTGTAGAGTAGGGTGGGGCATGACCGCATGAGTATTGTTTTTGACATGTTCTGCCCCGTTATTGATTCGTTCTATTATAAATTATATTAATGTCTACTTGTGTCATAAACTAACTGGTCTCAATAACTCGAGATGTTCGGAGAGGTTCAAGTATGTCACTTAGCCACTTTCTTACACCGCACCCCCAAACCAAAGCCCACTCATGGACTTGAAATTCGCACATGCCTCCCCATACCATGTCCTTTAAGATAACAGTTAATATTGGGGTCTGAGGACTTGAAAACGTGACCTCAAAGTCAAATCAGTTTTGATACTATGTTATAAACCAATTAGTCACAAAACTCGAGTTGTTAAGAGAGGTCCATGTATGGTACTTAACTACTTCCTTACTATTTGTATATTTCCTCTTTTGACTTTTCAAAATCATATTTCATCCCAAATACCTTTCAACTATTTCGACTAAATTATCATTCTACTATATATATAAATGATTTCATTTATGAAGTGCTTTATGATTGTCTTCTTGAAAAAGAGTTTGATATCGCCGTTCTTTTCTTCAACTGATATATAAGGGTGAGTTGAATTGTCCCACCGGGTAACCACGAGAGTGTTACATGACCTGATTCGCGCTTAGTGTGTGTGGCGTGCATGAGTATTGAGATACCCGTCCCGTCCCATCCCATTGCCATCACTAGTTGTGTAAACAAATTTCAAATGTATTTTTGGTGCATTTAACATTGACGGTAAATATATTTGTCGATAACGAAAAATTTTATTGAAATCCCAAAAATAAAATGAGCAATCATTCGCTCAGTTCGTAATTTGTTTATCATGTCACGTGTAGTTTGAAAATCCAAGCGCGAAATTGGGAAAATGAGGTGCAACATAATAGGAGCAAATCACTGAGTCTTCCATAGTTTTGGATAAATTATTTTTGGAATGTATAACATGACCATATATAAAATTGAAAGGTAATAAGAAATCGATAGATTTGAACCAAAACTCCATCCATCACACCAATTTTGTAGTCCAATCCACAATTAATGGCATGAATTATGGTTCAAGAAAAGCAGTCCATCCATTGATCCTAGTAAACGGATTGTTGCTTCAGTTACAATCAAATCCCAACAAAATCTTCAATTAACTGAATAATAATACGGAATTTCTTTTTTTTTTTCTTCTTCTGTATCCCCTTTATTTCCTCCCCCCCACCATTCAACTGTATCCCATTCCCATCCCCATCCCCTTTGATGTAAACAGCAGTCGGATTTGAATGATCAACCAAAACCAACCCGGCCCCACCCCAGTCCTACCAAATTTCCATTCGGTTTGACCAAAACCACCTTTTTCCACACACACACAAATAAATAAATAAATAAAAATCCAGCTCATTTCCGGGCCCCACCACCACACGTGTGGCGACCCACTGTCAGATAAACTCTCTCTCGCCTCCTTATAGTATAACCTCCTCCGCCCTTCTCCTTCCTCTTTATCTCATTTCACACAAATCCATCCACCCACCCAAAAAGACGAGAGAGAGAAACCACTTCGCCGTTCTTCACTTCTCACTATGCCGGGAAGCTTAGAACCCCTGGATTTATCCGTCCAGATTCCCTACCACTTCCGCTGCCCGATCTCCCTCGAGCTCATGCGCGACCCGGTCACCGTCTCCACCGGTCAGACCTACGACCGCTCCAGCATCGAGTCCTGGGTCGCCACCGGCAACACCACCTGCCCCGTCACCCGCTCCCCGCTCCCCGACTTCACCCTCATCCCCAACCACACCCTCCGCCGCCTCATACAGGACTGGTGCGTCGCCAATCGCTCCTTCGGGGTCGAGCGAATCCCCACCCCCAAACAGCCCGCCGAGCCCTCCTTGGTCCGCTCCCTCTTGAACCAGGCCGGTTCGGCTTCCTGCCCCAACCCATCCCGCCTCGCCGCCTTGAGGAGGCTCAAGGGACTCGCCCGCGACTCGGACAAGAATCGCTCCGTCATTTCCGCACACAACGCCAGGGAGGTTCTGATTCGGATCGCGTTTGGCGGCGGCGGCGGCGAGGAGCTGATCCGCCTCGAGGCGCTGGCGGTCCTCGTGATGTTCCCCCTCGGCGAGGCGGATTGCGTCGGGATCGCTTCCGATCCGTCCAAGGTCGGATTCCTGGCGAATTTGCTGTTCCATTCGTCGATCGAGGCGCGGGTGAATTCCGCGGCGATGGTCGAGATGGTCGTCGTCGGGACGCGGTGCTCGGATCTGAGAGCGGCGGTGAGCGGGGTGGAGGAGATCCTCGAGGGAGTTGTGGAGATGCTGCGGAATCCGATCCCCTACCCGCGGGCTCTGAAGATCGGGATCAAGGCGATGTTCGCACTGTGCCTGGCGAAGCAGACACGGCACAAGGCGGTGAGCGCGGGCGCGGCGGAGACGCTGGTGGACAGGCTGCCCGATTTCGACAAGTGCGACGCGGAGCGCGCCCTGGCGACGGTGGAGCTTCTTTGCCGCGTCCCCTCCGGATGCGAGGCGCTTGCGGATCACGCGCTCACCGTTCCGCTCCTGGTGAAGACGGTGCTCAAGATCTCGGACAGGGCGACGGAGTACGCCGCCGGGGCGCTGCTGGCGCTGTGCTCGGCGTCGGAGATTTGCCAGAGGGAGGCCGTGAGGGCCGGAGTGCTGACGCAGATGCTGCTGCTGGTGCAGAGCGACTGTACGGATCGAGCGAAGAGGAAGGCTCAGATGCTGCTCAAGTTGTTGAGAGATTCGTGGCCGGAGGATTCCGCCGGTAATTCCGACGATTACGTTTACAGTGAGGTCGTCCCGTTTTGAGGAAATTTTTGTTTTGTCCGATTTGTGTGATCAATTTTCCGTTCCTTCTTTCCTCTTTTTTTATTTAGGTTTTTAATTGGTACAAACAGAGAAGTAGAGGACGCTAAGCTAAGAAAACAAAGCAATTCAAAGTGTTAGATTGGTAATGTATAGAGGCCGGGGGGCAGACAGAGGAAGGATTGATAAAAAATGTAATTTTGTATGTAATTTCTTACTTTCTGTATGTAAGATTTGTTTTTTTCTTCTTCTCATTCTTCCAAGGGGTAACAAAAACCGATTGGCAAGGCAAATGAAAAATCGTCTTCATTGTTCCTGTGTTTGTCTAATTTGTGCGGGTTGTTCAGTTTCTGGCAAACTAGTCATTGCAAAGGTTATATGTCGTAATTGTCTGCTTGAATGACCTTGTCGAGTTTTTACGAAAGTTAAGCATACACATGCCTTATGTAGCCTATATATTTGCTCTTTTTTTGAACCATAGGAAGTTAGTAACTGGTAAGACTCCTCTTGCTCCTAACGTAGTAGGCAAAAGAGGTAAAGAAAGTAGAGTGGTAAAAGAAGGAAAGCGAGGACAGGTGGAGATGCAGAGCACTTGTGCGATGGAATTAAGGGAGAGAGAGAGAGAGAGAGAAGGCAAATGAAGTTTGATTGGATGGACAGAAGAAGCCAAGATGCGATTCTCCTGTGATCACAAGTTTGTGGGCATGCCATGGGGGGAATTGAATTGAAGAGGGGAGGGGACAATAGAGTGGTCAATTGTTGTGACGCCCAGCCTAGCCCACCATGTTCTGTCCTCATCGAACCAACCGATCCCATGGGCATAGTATCGGCTTCTTCTTCTTGCAAGTCTTGTTTAGTTGGGATTCGGTTTGTTTACTAAAATATTGGTTCATGTTTGTTTAGAGCTCGATTCTCGCAAAACTCGTTAATGAGCTCACGAGTTCTACTCGCGCTTGAGTCATTGAGCTCAACTCATTTATTCTAACAAAATTGAGCTCTTGAATTAAAATAATTTATAAATCAGATACCCTAATATTTGTATGTTATGTATCATACATGTGGCTGATGTTATCATGAGAAAAAATGATATCAAAATTTCATTTATATATTTTCTTGTTATCATATTACTTAGTTCATTTATTTTAACTAGTTCATGATCAAGTTATTTTATAGTAATTAGTATATAACTAATCAATGTTACACAATTTCTTTAAATTACAAGAGATATATATGTTCAACAAGCCTACAAATTATCAAAAAGCCAACTCATATGATAGATCGATTCACTCATAAGCTGATAATCGAGTTGGCTCACTAGCCACAATGTGGAGACATCTAATGAGCTCAAAACAACTACGCTCACGAGTTGAGATCAACAAGCCATTGAGTCGACTTGGCTCTCGAGTTTAACAAGACTTAGTTCAAACTCGGCTCGTTAGTACACAATCAAGTTTCAAACAAAATTTTTCAAATTCAAACGTCGAGCCACTCATGAACCAGCGGCGGATCCAGGACATAGTAGAGCACTGGGCCGCATTTTATTAGAAAACTAGATACCATAAAAAATTATAATTTTTTTTACAATATCAATTGTACACGTCTATCTTTTAATATAGTGAATTCATCAATAAAGGAGTCTACATCCATACTAATCGCATACTGCTCTTTTTCAAATAAAATAGTTAATCAATCGGCGAGAAATTCATTGCTCATTTTGTTGCGCAAATCATTTTTCACTTGTTCCATTGTTGAAAAGGTTCTCTTCATAGTAGTTGTTGAAACAGACAATGTCAACACGAGACAAATTAATTGACTAATCAATTTGTATTGTGTATCCATCCCTATTTTCACCACCTGCTCTAGTGATTTTTCAAGTAAACAAATCTCATATTTCTTTTAGCCTCTTACGTTTTAGACTTTTAGAATTTTATGTTTCATTGTTTGTTTTATTTAGACGAGACTCATTTGAGCTAGAATTTCTAGACTTAATTTAGAGTTATGATTTGAATATGTTCATCTTACCATTTTCCTAATTACACACAATTGTATTATAATATAACACTGGACCGAACGACTAAAATCGATAAATGCATAAGGGCTATACTAGTTCCGGATCCAGAGGAGGGTTTGGCCGTGGCCGGGGTGGCCACCTCCGAATCCGCCACTGTCATGAACAACTCAACTCATTTGCAACCCTACTTGTTGGTTCCTTTGTAAGTGATGGAATGATCATTTGTTGTCAGTCAAATTTAAAATCTTGGATAATTTTTTTTTACACATTTGTGTTATTTTGGAGAAAGTTCACTCGTGTTACTCGTCTTTAGAATCAATATCATTTATTTTTGCTCATCGAAATTTCAACAAAAATGTTCATGTAATGGCAAAATAGATTTCATTATTGATAATTTGGTTGCATAAGAAATAGTTAGTGGATTTCATTGTAGTCATTCTTGTAATTGTGTTTTGTAATAGGCTTTTTCTGAACTTGTCTTTCGATAAAAAGAAAACTCCACGGGAGGAGCAGTCTCATGCGGTTTCGTAGTTATAGGCTTATAGCATAATTCAACAAACTAATGTTTATTTTCTTGATTGTTTGTGAAATAGAATGATTTTGCATCAATACAGTCGGATCGATGTAGTTCACAACACTTCCGTCATGGAGCACTCATGGATGCAAAGGGCAAACGCGACCAACAAATCACTTACTTGAGGTCAGTAGTTGGCCATCTACTCGACTCTAAAATTTGCTTAGAGGCATAAGCTTTAAAAAAGTTGTTTAAAAAAATAGATTCTTCATCTTGCTATCCAAAGATTAAAAAACTAGAATATCTAGTGCAAGGTCTCACTCGCCTAAACTTTTCACTCTTTCTTAACAAATTGATGCTATTGCTCAATCAACCCCATCAGTCATCAGAGTATGATTGTTGTCGCGGCCCTCTGGCGGATTTGGAAATCCATACATTGGGTTGTCTTTGAAGGGAAACAATTTCAGATGGTTTCATTGATGCGACAATATCATCAACAAGTTCAGAAATGGATCGGATTACCAACGGACAGACTTACCTCAGCTCCCCCCCCCCCCTCCAAAAAAAAAATTGAGAGCTCGAATGCTTCAAATCTTGTCTTGTTCACTTGCATGTAGGGATTGTGCAACAAGAAATGGATCACACTCGGCGGGAGAAATAGTTATAAAAGACCAGAGTGGGTTGATTATCTTGGCTAGGTGAGTTCAGATCGATAATATTGATGACCCACCAATAGTCAATTATTAGTCCTCCGTGAGGCCATCTAGTGGTGTCTGAATTGTAGCCTCTCGCATGTTCGGTTTGAAGGTAATGCGAAGGTGGTCATTGAAAGATAAAACAGGTCGATAAACATGAAAATCACTCTGGAGCCATTGTCGAAGAAGTTCTTTGTTTGTTGGTAATTCATCATGGTCTTACCGTACGATTTGTAGGTCGAAATAGCAATAGGGTAGCCCATTTGGTGCCTAGAAAGACCATTTCTTTCTACCCAAATACGTGTCATTCTTTTGATTTTCTGCCTGGTTGTATGCCAGGGGTGTAATGTGTTCGACCTCTTTTGTCAAAAAAATCCAAAGATTAAAAACGGCGAACTACTATTTGTGGCTAGGGCTGTTAATGAGCTGAGCTATTCGTAAGCGACTCGGTCTCGAACTCGAAAAAAGATCGTTCGATTAAAAAAAAAGCTCTACCTTGTTCGGCTCGTGAAGCTCGTGAACTAGCTTGATTAGGTGGCTCATTTAATACAACTCATGAACTATCTCGTTTTGAGCTTATGAGATGTCCCAACATTGTGACTAGAGAGCTAACTCGACTACAACTTATGAGAAAATCAATCTATATTTTATGAGTTGGTTTGTTAATGATGCATATAGTTATTAAATTGTATATATCACCTCATATGGTGTTTAATACATTGAGTATATGTAAGCAAATAAGTCTCATATCTGACATAACATTAGGTAATCACTTGTATCACATATGACATATAAATATTAGGGTATTTATATTATAAATTATCTAAGAGTTGAGCTCGAGCCGAACTTTCAATCTTAAAAATGTGTCAATATTTAATAAATGAGTTGGCTCGTGTTCGACTCGACTCAACACTTTAATAAACGATTCGGGCTCTAGCTCGACTCGTTTATAAACGAGCCGAATATGAATGAAGAAAAACTCGACTCGGCTCATTAACAACCCTATTTGTGGCCCTAAAAATAACATATTTGTAGCTTTATATTTTGAAAATTTAGAAGTTTACCATTTGAAAAGTTTACTATTACGTAATAGTTAGGGTAAATACCATTTTTTACCCAAACGTTTTCCCCATTTCGTAATATTAGCCAAACGTTAAGTAACATTGCTAAATATTAGCATTAATTCCATTACCGCTAGTTCTTTGTTAACGGTGCAACAACTCAGCAAACACGCCTAATATCATTAAAATTTGGTCTTTTTTTTTTGCTTTTAATTTTAATTTGCAGAAACCTTAAAATTACAGAAATTGTTCGATTTTGAAGGAAGGATTTTGCTCTCAAACCAAATTTTTTTGAAAGGGGTAGGGTTCGAATAGGAAAATTGGAACCACATTACCTTGCTCGAAGATTTCTCGGCAAAAGATTGGACTTTGATTGAACTATCTCTCTCTCTCTTCGTCTTCAGCTGGCTTCTCAGTCTGACGTCAAACTTTGGTTCGGAACACAGAGACGGATGGCGACGACAGAATTTACTGCCTCGCCTGCTGGAAATGATGGAGGAAGGCCGTCAGGCGGAGAAGGGGGAATAAGGGAGAGACCAGAGTAGGGAGGTGATAATCCGGGGCTGGGGGTTTATTTTTCGTTTTCTTTTTTTAAATAATTATTTTTTGGGTTTAAAATTAGAACCGAAATTGATCACCACCTGGATGCCAACTCAGCATTGTCATGCTTAGTTAGCAATTCTAATGAAGATGTTAACGGATAATTAACGTTTGGCTAATAATTCGTATTTCGATAGTTTTGGCTAATATTACGAAATGGGGAAAAGGTTTGGCTAAAAAATAGTATTTACCCTAATAGTTACAGAACATATGCTTCTCTTACATAATAGTTGTAAAATATCATTATGTAAACCTTACGCAATGGACAGTCCTTTCACATAATGAATCTTAACCTCGCGTTACGTAAAGTGATATGTCATTACGGAAACCTTATGTAACACTTCTGATTTAACTATTATGTAAGAGATAACTATTGTTCCGTAACTATTATGCAATAGATGTATATTTTGCATAACAGTTGTAAAAAGTC